AAAAAAAAAAAAAAAAAAAAAAAAAAAAGCACAGAAACAAAGACCTCCATCCACTTGGCTAACACAGTACAAGCAAGCTACTACAGTCCGTTTATAAATTACTACTTCACACCTGGTAACTTACTACAATTGTAAAAAGGGTTAGACATAAACAAAAATGTTTCTTAAGTTAAACACACCATTTCATCCCCATTAAAAAAAAAAAGAAAGAGAAAAAAAAAGGAAAACAAAAAGCTATTACTGATTTTTCTTCAGACATGTCTCATCTCTAATAGGTTTGGAAGTGGCCTGTTACGCTATTTCTGAACAGGAAGAGCTTACCCAAGATTATAAAAGTAAATATTTGAAACAAAGTCCTCTCTGAGCAAGCAACACTGAGTGTGGGTTGTCATTGGTCCACGTAAAGTACAAGCCAGATTTTTTTCTTTTCTTTCCTTTTTTTTTTTTTCATTTTTGCCTTTTCTTACAGAAAACACTTCTGTTTTCGCTTCTAAAATTCTCTTTAAATACAAAGCGCCTCTTCTCTCATCCCAGCGTCAAAATCATCTGGATATTAGCTTAAAACATGGACACCCCAAGCATCTGCAAGAAACAAACAGAACATTAATACAGACTTCACACTGCACTGTCCTGGATGTTTACATCATTGAATGTCCATCTACATCAGTAATGATTAAAGTCTGACAGAACATGATCGTTTTCAACCAGTTTCCAAACTAAATTAACAGTTACTGAGAAAACCTGATCTTAAACAGGCTTGTTTTGAGCCGTGCAAAAAGACTTGGTAAAAGCCAAGTACATCGGAAATGGTTTATATCCTCAGAAAAAGCTTAATGGAACAAGATTTGAAGAATTTAGCGCAGACAAAACTGCTTCATTCTGATGATTTAGTTTCATTTTTGTGATCAAAAAGGTTGTTTAAGATAACATAAACCAGTCACACAGGGCTCTACTTAGCCTTACATTGTTACATTGGAGGAAAAAGAAAGAAAAAAAACCTTCCCAGAGGTTTTGTGACAGTCTGGAACAAGAATTTAAGGCTGGATATCCAGTCAGACATGAATAAAAATCGTTTATACAAGCCTAATGGTTGCTCTGCTCACCAAAAAGAAATGTTGCACTTGGCTAAAGGTTAGTCAGCTCAACCTGTCAAAATGCACAGCCTCATTCACAACCCAAATAAAACAGGCTAGCAGCTGGTCTAGCTTAAAAGGCAGGCAATTGCAATTTACTTCCCAACAGTTGTGTCACTTCACATGTAACAGACGTCAACAAACAAAATATAAGATTGTGAGCAGGATCAGTACAGGATCCTGATCTTGGTGCTCCTTACCGATTCATCCATGATAGAAGGGTCAAAGTAATCGGGCTTGAGCTCAGACCTCTCACGGCGGTTCTTGGAGGGTGGCTATGAGATTTAAGAAACGGCATATTTAGTAGACTGTCAAACAACTACTCCCACCCACTGTTAGAACTTTACCCCATCTATTAAAAAAGGAGAGAGAGAAAAGCAGAGATTGCAGAAATCGACAGAACCAACATACAATGCTTATATGTAATTTCAGCATATGCTTGGGACATTCAAGTAGAGTGAATTTAGAGAAACAAGGACAGTTGTACAGTCTTCTGGTTGATTCAACATGACATTTGGAGCCCATCTCATGGAATCCAGCTCCAGCATCCAAGAGAGGTATTAGCCTCGGATCAAATTTTGTTCTGGCTTTACACTCGGCATACATAAATCTGTGGTGTTGGCATAAATGATGAAAATATTTTTGTCTTTTTTGATCATGGTATACCAACAATTGCAATGTACTGGCAAGTACATACTTTAAAAAAAGAAGAAAAATACAGATATATTCTTTCCACAAGCAAACATTTCTCTGATTTCTGACTTGTGCTAGTTCTATTACAGGCAACATTCAAAACAAGGTGCCTGGTTTCATCCTATGCCAGTGTGTGCAATAAAAAACAATTACACAAATGCATCAGAATACATTCTGAACTTAGTTGTAAAAGGGTTAATTTTCTCTTGTTAATCTCCAACTACCATCAAACTGAATCATTAAATGACAAAGAGACAATTTGGAAACAGATACTTGTGTAAAATGCTGATTTGCCTTCCAAGACCATTAACAAAAAACAAAAACAGACTTTAATTGTGATCTAGAGTTTCCTCTAGATCACAAGAAGACACAAGCTTGTATCACAGCACTTCAGAGGACATCTTAATGTTTGTACACCAAGTATAAACTCATGAAAATGCATGTATCTCACCAGATCAATGTCCATGGTGTCAAAGTCCATGCCTTCATTGAGGTCATCCATACGGCCTTCTGATGACATCATCACATCCTCCACAATCGGCTCTTCGTCTTCTTCCATGAGCCCAGTGCCGCGACGACTGCTGAGCAAACCATTAAATAATTACTAAGTGTACCCAGTCTTCAGATTTACACATCGGCATACAGGTGTGCCTGTGACTTACATAGCATGCTGCAGATTGGTCCTGAGCTTGGCATAATTCATGGCTCTTTCTTGCTGGCGTGCCTCCTCTTGCTGTCTTTGAGCCAGCATCCACGTCACCTGGGAACTAAATATATGAGAGCACATTATTTAGCCATGTTTTGACCCACAACTGTCTGGTGTTTTTACTGGGGATACCATGAGGATACAACTTAGTTGCACACTGGCCCGATGCCTGCAAAAACTCAGGGAGGATAAATAAACTAGTCAGTCACTGTCCCAGTAGGACCAACACTTGGCAGGCTGTTAGGCACAACCATTTTGCTACCATTTGCCCTCCAAATTAATAGCATGCAAATGGGCAATTACACTGAACCCTGTCTTAATGTATTTTGGCTCATTCCAGTCCAAACCTTTTCTCAGAGAATAAGTGATGCTCTGGCCTGAATAATCGGCCTGGATATAAGCCTAGATGTATTTATAAAATGTTATAGTATGAAACATCGGGATATGCTTAAATAACAGATAATTAATTAAAAGTAAACGGTCATTAAATAGCTTTGAGATTATAGGGTCAACAAAGAAAGAAGAGGGAAAAAACATTAATGTTGGACTGTGGGGTTTTTGAGCAATTGGAGGTGCTCAAGGAAAGTAAGTGCTTACTGCTGTAGCTCCAGTCTACTTCCAGTTTTCTCAGCCTGTACTTTGAGAAGCTACAACTATTCACTACTCATCTTATATAATCTCAACTTAGTTAGAGGCACGATTCCAAATCCTGCTCACTAATATCATATAGGTATATTTTCGCAGATTGATTAATTCAATTCTGAAGCTCAGACACCATTTTTCCTCATTGATCTGCCCATTCTCTGCTGATTAAGAGACACATAGCAAATCTGTAAAGACTCCTAATGTGTTTGTTCTTTTCCTAGAGATTTATCTAGGTAATAGGTCATTATTAAAACTGCCCTCATTATTGTGCATCAAAATGCTTCGCTAATAATTTCACACTGATATGTTACAAACCTAAGTAATGTGTTTGAGTCTTTGAACCTATGTGTGGTCTTGCCAACTCAAGTGTACTTGTATTTTATTACACACTTATAAACATAAAGTTTTCAGAGGTTTTGCATCTAAGGACAGTGAAGAATCAATAAGTCCTCTACAGTAAAAATGTTTTTATTTGAAAGAAGCAGTGTGTATTAGCCTGTAACGATTACTGTGCTGAACATGACAGCAATAGTGCAGCAATGAAAGACTGAGGCATGCGTACTTGTAATCCATGGATGCCTGGTGGTGCTGGGGCGTCGGTTGATGGTGCTGCGGGTGTTGGTGGGGTTGCTGCTGGTCGTGAGGGAGGGGGTAGACCCCCATGAAGCTGTCATCACGCGCCCTCTTAGGGTCCCGCATGGCAGTGGAGGTGAGATGGGGAGATGGCATCATGACTGGAGTCTGCATGCTCTGCTGCCAGACTTCGCTGCTGCTGCTGCTCTCCTCTGCACGGGAAAAGCCAAAGCGTTTGTTTCAAACAACCACACACATTCTAGTTTTTATACATTTTGCACAAGTTAGCAATGCAAAGCTCTATTGTCCTGGCCATGCTGAGTTTGAGGAGAATCAAAATTTAGGATTTTGTTTGGTTGCTATGGTAAAAGCAACACATTAACCTTTGCACCAGGGGCAGGGATTGCCACAGTTCACAGAAGAGGCGTAGGTATACAACTGAAACACAGTTCTGAGCATGTCTGTGTGTTTGGCACTCCAGGAACAGAAACCACCTGGAAAATTACACAACAGCGAAAACGGTGGGCCGTCTCTCCCCAGTGAGCCACAATACTCAGCCGTGTTGTCACATTGATAAAGGCTAGCATATCTACCTATTATTAACCGTTTTTCTTGGCTTAATTTGTCCACAATATGAATTAGCATGGCATTCTGTTTAAGTGCTCTGGCAGCAACAGAGTGTGAGATAATGTTCTCTGGAGCTGTAAATTAAGCCATAACATCAGAAACATGAAGTATCACTTGTAAAGGACAAAACAAAAACAAACTTGATGGTGATTGTATGGAGCTTTTATGCTTTCTCATTTATTAGTTAGGGGCTTTAAAATAACCAACAAGGCTTGGACTTTGCCTTGGGGCCGGTAAACTCTACTTTTCTTGAAATCAGAGCGATATCCTGTCATGAATAGTTCTGAAGCAAACATACACTAGAGAGGTTTTTTGACTGTTAAAGAGTACTTTGACTCTCTCCTAACATCTGCTGTTTAATCTCCTAACCCCACCCATGCAGGCTAGTGAGAAGACATCTGGGTTAATCTGGGCTCTGTGTTTGTAACATCGCGCCTGGCTGAGTTGTATGCATTTCTCCGATTTAATTCATGTTTATAGTTTATAGAACCCTGCTAGCTTTAATCTTTTTAAACCAAACTAAAAATCAATATATTTTTTCCACCTGCACTATAATTAAACACTTTTATTTTAATATTCCTGAGTAAACAATACCTTCTGGCAACTTCCTCTTGGCTGCTGAAGGTCCAGCTGTAACAACAGGAGGCTTAGTCTTCTTGGAGCGAACGGAAGAACCTCTGCTGGAGTAGCCACTCATCACAGACATGGTATCATCATCGCCCCCAGCCTGTAGGGAATTCCTGTAGGAGATGAGAGGAAGCCAGCAGTCCTCTCGCTGCAGCGCCATCTGGAACGTCATGAATCGCTCCAGGTACATGTGACTGGGGAGAAGAGGGGGGTCATCTTGAGAAAATGAAATACGAAATACACAATACACAGGACAAACTTCACACGTGAAACCAGATGCACATTCCAATTGGGGCATTCGAAGCTGCAAAAAAGCTGTCATGCATCAGAAACACCAGTTGCACCAGTTGTCACAAACACCTGTTCCACTTAGATACTGAAGCTTCCCATCCAAAAACAGAGGGGGGAGAAAAGAAGAAAATCAGCTTACACAGTCCTCTTGTCTTGTCTCATAAGCTTGGAGGAGAACTCGCTGAGGATGTCCAAGAAAGCCAGGTTGCGTGGGGGGCCTCCTTCTCCTTGGGGACTAGGCTCCTTAAATGCAAACTCAATACCATCCCTGAGAAAAGCACAGAGGTAGAGAGAAAAAGAAAGACCTGTGAGCAAGGATTAGCAACGTTTTGTGGACATTAAACAAAAAGCAGTTCATCTTAACTGTGTAGTAGAGGTGTGCATACACACATCATTCATGATAATACCAGTAGTTTTTGTTTTTGCCCCGGGTCAATAAATAAATATTATATTGTGATGGTGTAAAAACAAATCACCCTATTACACAGCGGATTACGCTAACGTGGGTCATGCAGCATGAAGTTATTAAGTTTGTGAAAGTGACGGCAAACATGGCTAAAGCATCACTGCTGAAGATTTAATTCCCAAAAGAGCAGCTACTTGAGTGGTTTGGAAATATTTTGGATACAAATGAGCAGATACAGAACAGACCACAATAATATGGAAGGAGTGCAAGACGCCTGTAATATCGAATGGGGGAAAATACTTCTTACTTCACCATCTCAAGCATCAGCAGCCGAGTCTGTACCAGGATTGTCTGAAAGCCGGAGAGAAAACTCTGCAGCTAACGCTACAAAACTAAAACAAAGTAAGCTCATTCAGCATAGCCTCACTGAGTCTCTAGCTAGTTGTACTCCGTATGATTTTAAAAAACAAACGCTGGAACTATGGCTGTGCGATATGACCAAAATCTCATATCCCGATATAAGAATTCTATCCTCCTGATAACGATATAAATCACAAAAAATTAACAGTTTCAGTAAATTCTGTGAATCTCGGGCAGCTCGAAGTGTTTCCAGCTTTGACTTGTTGGCCCCATATCAGATCTAGTAGTTTAAGTGTGTTGAACACATACAGCATTTGATTCGTACCACTTAAGTAAAGCAAGTTGCAGTAGTCATGCCACAACTTTCAATAGTGTAATATTACTTTATATAAAATAATTAAACCTGTGAAATACTAGAGAGAGCTGTCAGAATTACTACCTCTTTAGTACACATTTTAAAATATGACCTCATGACAAGTGTACTGGACCCAACGAGGCAGGCATATTGTAAGATTCTGGGCCTATAGCAACAATTAATGGCAACTACTTTTATACATTTATTTTTGTTTGTTTCAGTCCTCTTGCACTCTTCCCTCTGCACCATGGAACAAAAGAATTCAATTTTCAGTAATAACTTAAGTAGTTTTAGGCCTTCTTTCAGAACTCTTTGAATTGGAACAAATTTAATAATACTAATCTGTGAAACTGATTGGCTCAAACAGATAAAGGTTTACTAGTACCAATGTTTCATCAGAGATTTCGCTCTGTATGTCCAATATAACGTAGCATTCACTGACTGTGAGAGATTTTTGAGAGGAGAAGATTGAATGCTTAAAACAACCAATTTTCCACCACTTATAACGGTATTAAAATAGATTTCTGCCACCGCAATAGTTTGTTTTTAGAGAAGATACTTGAAATGATAGTAGTGATGATCCACCATCAGATATTAAGAAAACTCTGTGCGGCTCATTTCATTCACACGACTCAAATATGTAACGGTCGGTTGCCTTCCTTTATGTTTCTGCAGTTCAGTGTTGTGTTTTTGTTTTGTTTTTTTTAAACATGTTTTTCTACAATACTTACTGTACTGGAAAAGGCTAGAGTGTAACATTTCAATCCTTAAGCCTCTCAAAAATCCGGAGGAAAAACAACATGGCAAAGGAAACACAGTATTCAAGAAGTAATTTGTCTAACATGACAGTTCCCAGATACGGGGCCAAAATCTAAGAAAAGCTTTGTAACCCAATATGAGCAGAATAAAGCCTTACTTGTGCAGCATGGCAATGGCATCTCTGGTTTTGACTTGATCGAGACCAAAAGTTAGAGAAAAACGACGTGCCAACTCCTTGATTCCACAGAATGCCGAGGAGGAGCGATCAAAGCCATGACCCAGTTCAGTCACCATTTCAATAAATAACTAGGACACAGAGAGATATGGAACATTAGATAACATCTTAACCACTGGGACGCATGAGCAGAAGGTCACAATTATGGAATTAATTAATACGCGAGCAACAGTGTGCACACTGACCTGCTGCAAACTGAGGATGAGCGTCTTGGCACACTGAATCTTATCAATTTGCCGAGTCTTACTCATAGTCTCCTTGATGATATCACCATAATCATTGTAATACTGTAAAAGCAAAAAAACAAACAGGAAAAACATTGAAAGGTCGTGAAGAATTTTGTGTGTGTGTGCATGCATGTGCCCAAGGTCAGGACAACAGCAAATGTGTTAATTAAACAACTATTTTTTTTCCTGTAAGAGTTACTTATATTCACAGTTAATGGGGGTAATACACAACTGCATATTTTTAAAATGACAATTGCTTAAGCTTACCCTCATGTACTGTTTAAAGATATCAGCTCCAGTCCTCATTTCTACCACACAGTAGATAATGAGTTTACAATAGGCAGCCAGGAGGTTTCTTCTCTTGTGCAGAGCTTCGATCTTTACTGCCTCGTCGTCCTGTTGCCCATCTGAGGGGGAACAAACAATTTGAAATCCCATTAGCTACTTCTTCACTTTGGCCAGTGCAGTGCCAAAACTGCACATCTGCATATTCATACCTGTGCTATTTGTGTCATCATCCTGGTCTATAAAAACATGGTTCATGATGAACGAGAGCAGTTCAGACTGCAGTGAGTCCTCTGGAGAATAGACCAGGGGCTCCAGGTGTTCTCTGCCTCCGGACACCATCTGGTGGCTAAAGATGAGCAGGAGATCACAGAGGATGGTGAACGCCTGTGGAAAAAAACGAAGAAGAAAAGAACAAAGTTAAAACTCTGCGTGCACAAGCCCTAAACAAAATGATCACAAATTAGATTTCGAATTAAGCAGATACATTATAAGTGCTCTGGAGCTTAACAAATATCCATTGTAGCTGCAATAAGGGGCAACCAAACCACCACTTCAGAGTTAAAAGGCAAGTCTGTTCAGCTGCACAAAGTCCATGTACTTTAGGTGTTCTTGCTTTGCTTTCAAGCTGATTTTACGCACACTTTTAAACATGGATAATTGTCACTTTCTCATCTGTGTCACCTGCTCTTTGACAGCTGTGTTAACGTTGGTGAGGTAGCGCTGACACATCATACAGAATGCCCTCATCTGCTTCCTCAGGGTCACCAGATCATCCTGAAACAAAGACAAACGCATTTTAAAACATCACATTTATAGCTGCTTAAGTCTGTTAAAACAGCACAAAATAGCAATGAAATGTGATTAGACCTCACCTTTCTGGAGCTGCCCTCAGATAACTTGGCCAGGTGCCACAGTATCACGTAGTGGGTACATTGCAGTGAATGGATGACTATCTACTCACAAGGAGCGAGAGAGAAAGAGAAAAAACCCACACAAAATAATAAAAAAAATTAAAAAAAACATGTATCAGTATTTTCGAGCATTTAAAAAAAAAAATTAAAAAATTATGCAGAGTAACTTATGTATATTACCTGCTCAGGCATGTCCCCGTTCTCTATGCCAGTATTGAGCAGCTTGAAGTTGCTGGTAAAAAGGTCCCATCCCGAGAGGTCATGTGCACTGCAAAAGAGTTGATGACGTCTCATCACTTTCAAAAACGTGCACACTGAATCTACCAACAATGCAGCAGACGTAGATAAAAGCACATAGAAAATACTTCTGTGAAAACATACTTGTGAAAAGCTGTGATCCTCTTTAGAGTTGACAAAACCTGATAAGCATCATCTTCATCAGCATCTTCACCCTGTACAGAAAAAAGTGATTTTAACAGGTCAAGATCTTTAATGTTATCATAAATAAAAACAAACTGGAGTTTTCAGGTTGTCCAGAAAGGTGAAAATTTCTGATGAGCTTCTTTACAAACTATATGATAAGGTCATTCACAGCACATCAAGTATTTTCATCCTTGCTATGTTCCAGTACCAGTTCCAGTACCAATAAATGAAGAGTTATGAAATGTGACAGAGATAGAACAGAACACAAATAATGGAGGCTGTGCTCTTTTCATGGTTTATGTTGAGCTAGTTTCTGTTGTACTGGACTTATAGGTATGCTGGACATTTAAGCGCACTATTACTCTCACCTCTTGTAAAAAGTCCTCCAATAGCCTATTAAATTTGTCCACCAGCTCATCCAGCAGCTGGGAGCGGGCTATGTCCACCCTGTTAAAGATTGTGAATTCCTCATTGCAGAGGGCGTGGTAAGTCTTAGAGCAGGACTCTAAAACCTCAGTGTCTGTGTGCTTCTCCACAATTTCTTTGATCTGACGCAGCAGGGATTCCAGGTGCTGGATGGAGAAGAGCGAGAGATAAGAGATATTAGCATCGTGTGTGATAAACAATCACATTAATATGTTAAATACATTAATCCGATTTGTTATAATCTGATTAGTGCTGTCCGACAAGCCAATTTGTCTTACCTTCTCCAGACGCCCTGTGGTATAAATTTCCAAGTCAAAGAATTGCGGAAGCTGCAACAAGTTAGTCACCTTCTCTGCATCCACGGCATACTGTGGAGCACAAAGAGCACAATGATGCTGTACTGTTAAAAGTACAACCTCCTTAGGAAGATTGCTTCTAAGAAAGCTGAGTAGATATGACATACCTTTGCCAGTAGAGGGGGCAAAGCCACAGCAAACAGCTCTGTTATTCTGGTTCTGTCATCCAGCTGAGTCTTCTTCTCTTTAGCCGTCATCACCTGATGTGTGATGCAACCACATTAGACCACACAACTAGTCTCCATTCATCCATTCAGAAAGTATACTCTGACTTCTTAATACCGAACACTGCCATTTAGGGTAAATGTAAACTACATTAATCTTTTTTTAGCGCTTCTGGGGAATTTTATTTTTAGCTTTTAACTGAATTTGCTAAATATTTTAAGTAGTTCTTTAGGAATTGATGTGTTGTAAACAACTCAGAAGGACTGCATAAAAAGGGCCGAAAGCAGCTGTGGTTAAACTCATTAAAATAAAGAAAGTATGCAAGTGCAGTAGAAACATGACAGAAAGTACAAGTTTAGTATCTACAATTATGCAGAGCGAAGCTACGCACCAACTTGCAACTGTTTAAAAACAAAACAAAACAAAACATGAAGAATATTCCAGAACTGTTCTTATCTCCAAAATCAAACACCACGACAATGAGCAAAAGAAAGTATATACATTAAAACAATCTTAGCAAACAGTCTTATCCTCTGGTAGCCTACATGTTGCACTTCAGACAGCAAAATTACAAAAATAAATAACTAATCAAACAACAAGTTGGCTGACAATTATTTGAAGACCTATGAACAGACGTGGATCTGTAGATCTTTTAAGTGGCCGTGTTTCAGAAGGTTCATAAAGAGTTAACCAATTTAACATAATTAACTCTATAATATTACTGTTACCAAAGAAATCCCAGGATAGTTGGCCGATTAGGCCAGCACAAAGACAGCATAATCCAACAAACAGACGTGACTAGTATTGGCTTATGATTTTTAGCGTGTCAGCCACTCTTACCCTCTTCCCTGTTCCTCTTCCAACAGGTGGGTGGCACTCAGCAGCCTGGCGTACAGTGCACAGCATGATTTCAATCAAAGCCGTCTCTTGTCTGTCTGTAAGAGCTGCGAAAGAAAAACCAAACAGAGAAATCAATAAATCACAATAGTGCTCTCAACTGCATACCAGTACAAAGAAAGAAAGAAAAAAACCTAGTGCCATACCTTCCTCTCCTGGCAATGGGTCATCTAGCAGTAAGCTGATCATACACTCCCAGTCTTTCAGTAGCTCTGCACCACATTCCCAGAGTGAGTCCACTAGGTAAGCTGCATGCTCGTGGAGCTGATGGAATAAGTGTTCAAACAGATGAGGGATGGATCACTGATACTGTTTACAAAACAGTACGCGCAATAAAGACAGAAATGTGAGAACAGAAAATATAGCATGATAATGTACCTCACTCTCCAGGAAGAAAAAGACAGTGGTCTTAATGAGGTTGGCATTGGGACTTTGTCTGCCTCTCCTTTTGGGGGCACCTTCATCTTCCGGTTCTCGGTGGCTGAACAATCTTTGAGAATATTTTTCATTAGTTGGGAATCACATGGAATACTAACTCAAAGAGCTGATATACTATTTCTTGGAACTGTAAAGGTTTACAAACAAAAATCACTACAAGCCTGAAGCTAGAAATCTTAACTTATGTCTAACATACTTCTTAAAAAGGAATTCTCCAGCTGCAACTGCGACCGGCCTGTGTGCCGAGTACACCAAGTGATAGACACTCTCACAGTCCTCAGGAGTCAACACCTCATCTGTACTACTGCAGAAACAAATACAAAGAAAATTACAAAGACTTTATCAGTAGCATACATGTACTTGATGTAAATCACAAAATTTACAAGTGCTCAGCCTTGAAGTATAAACTACGTTCCAATCACTTGTGCTGAACAACATTACATATTATCAAAAACAACCACTTACTTCAAGACAAGAGTAAGTAGCTTAATAGCTTGTACTGCTACATCATATTCTTTGTCAAGAGTCATAGAGACGATGCGGTCCTAAACAAAAGGAGAGACAGAAAACTTAATGAGTCATTTTGCCTCGCAAACTCCTGAATTACTGAAAGCATAGTTAAATAAAGACAAGCCCATGGAGTTTGTTTCTCCAAGTATGGAACAAATACAGCTGTTGTGTTTAAGTTGTCCAGCAGGTGGTGCTGACCTTAAAGCGACTGGTGAAGAGCTCCAGTCTGGCATTGAGTTCTCTGTTGTGATAGAGGCCCTGCAGTGCTGTGAGACACTTTAGACGTACTTCGCCTTGCTGGAATAGAGTACGAAAGTATCCATTACTGGTTACTGCAGTTATCAACACACTCTTTTTTTAAAAAAAAAAAAAATTAATTAAGTATACACCTTAAGAGGAGCTTTTAAAAAATTCAGAGTCCTTTGTATTGCCCACCTTATCGTGCATCGTCCATCCCACATACTTCAGATAGCTGTCGTTGAGGAAGGCATCACTATAGAGTTTCATCCACACTCCAATCTCTTCTATACAGATCGCCCTGATTTCTGCTATTGAATCCCTGTTAAAACATTATTTAATAAAAAAAACAAACAAACAAACAAAAAAATGAAAGAGGGCTGTTAGCAGTCTGTAGAAAAGACAGTGATAACAAAGTTCAAGACTGGATGCTGACTGACGTAAGGCCATACCGATATCTGTGCACGAACACTCCTTTGAATATTGCATTCATCATGTTTTCAATCTCGTCCTGATTTTCCTGGAGCTGAAATTAAGAGCAGAAAAAAACCATGTCAGCACATTTTATCACACAAACGCAGCAACTGACCAGACTGCAACAATAACTGGTGGTCAGGATGCATTGTTAACATAATAAGACTAGTGTGATAGTCAACTATGCCACCATGCTGTGGTGTGGCTGCACAGTGAACTAACAGATGGATGCCCTGTGGGACCTGCTGTTATATAACCAATAAACCCGCCATACAGGCTAAATAACACTTGGCATTGCGGGTTCACCACCTACAGAGGAGTAGCAGTCACTATTCTTCCTAAACCAACAAATGTCTCCTCACAAGCTACAGTAATTCCTGTTTACATGGTTATATAGGTTCTTTCATGATTTGGGGAGAGTCCAAGTTTAACGTCAGTTGTTGATTTTGTAGAATACTGGTTTAAATTCTTTGAGGTGACCACAAAAAAAAAAGGAAAAAAAAAAAAAAAGGAAAAAAAAAAGGAACAAATAAAGAACAAATAATATACTGTGAATCTTTCACAAATCACCTGAGATTTCTGGTATTGTCATCTCTGATTCACAATAGAGTCCTTATTTTGAAACAAAGTTCAATTCAATAAATACTCAGAAGAATATACTGTGTATGCAATGACTATCCCCCCCCCCCAAAAAAAAAGTTCTGAGAGAAACTGGTCTGTGTCCTCCCACTTTACGAGGGAAATGGGTACAAAGCGGGACCCTCCCGCTGTGTTGTTGCCAACACCGTCTCCAGCTGCTGAAACATAATAACCAGTTAAGCCCATTGTGTTCCACAACTCTGCACAGATGCAAGCTCTTATAAATTGAACAAATCATGGACCAAAGTAGTTTTCTTCACCTAAACAGAGTAGGCTCAAAGTTATCTGTTCAAATGGATTTGGTGACCAGGGAGTTTTTAAAGCTTGTTACTAATTTGCTAAATCGAAAATGGATCCATTCTTTACAGTTCAACTTTACTGTGTGCTAGATGATACACATTATTCTCACACATCAATGCTACACTTTTACCTCATTTACATAGCTACACTGGCAATATTTAAAAATCTATAGTTACTTTCAATTAATGTAATGGCATCTGAATGTGTTGGCTTCGTGTCTAAAGGACTCTGGTCATTTTTCAAAAATGGAGAAAAAAAACATTATGAGAGTATGTGCACTAGGGCAGACACAGTAACATTTGCAAATCTGCTTGAACAGAGCATAAATCTGAAATGCATGCAGTCACATTAACAGGCAGACCTTGAACAGCAATAACATTTATCTCTCCAACTTCAATTTTCATTCGCACCAAGATTGAAGCATTAGTCATTTCTGTTACTTTCAAGCTGTAAGAGACGACCTTCTCACAGCCTGTGTGGAAGGGGCAGGGAAGAGATGCCTCTCAGCTGCAGCATCATGCAGCACGTGCACACAGACACAGAATTAAACTTTCAAAAGTGTGGCTCCACTTCAACAGTTGACACGATGCTTGCCAAGTCTTTTAAACACAGGCCACACCTTTCTTATGCACCGCATCTCTCTGAATTAAGCAATTTGCTGTAATATTTATGAACTTTAAAAAAGTATACATTATTGAAAATCTTCTCAAAATATTGTGATATATTTTTGAGGCTATAGGGCCTACCCAACTGCTCCTGTTTTTGTCTAACTGAAGGAAAAGCAGCATTTAGTGCAAATAAATGAAGGGCGTTTTCAATGCTTCTTTTCCATAAGCTACTGTCATGGATGACAAACTACAGTTGTAGTTGAACAGCATTATAACCATCAACAGCATAAATAAAATGCAAGCACAGAAGTAGAAGTCTAGTTAGCGTTTGTCCTGTAAACTTTAAGTTTTATATAACTGTTTAATACTTTAACAAAAGCTGACATAAATCTAAATTCTAATTCATCAGAAACTTGTACAACATTTTCATACATGTGGATGATGAAGTTTTTTCTTTCTATTTGGGTCAAACATCTCCAGCTGCAAGCATCTCCTTCCTTTGTAGCCTGGTTTTACTCAACAGTATGTTTTTATCTCAATAAATGTGTTGTTTCCACATTTATGGGGAACAGTTGTATATGTATATATTATATATGTTGCAAACATCAGTACTTTGTTGGAGATTGTTGAAGTAGTTCTCTTTTAGGTACGAAACTGTCATTAGAGAGTGACACAATGCTCTTACTTTCAGACATGCCCGGGTTTGTCTCCTTGTTGTACACACAAAAGGACGTAAACAAATGGTTTTGCTACAGTAAAAATATTGCGATAGGATACTTTTAACGTAAAAATGTATACCGGTACTATAGCTGATGATACAATGTGGCAGAGCCCTAAGAAACAGTCGCCAATTATTTTGATACATTAACAAATCGCTGCTCAAACAAACCAGTTTTCAATGTGAAGTTTAAAGTGTCAAACGTACAAATGAATAAACATGACGTGCTTAATGTGATAAGCTGCATGACAAAAACAAATGCAACAAATTGTTGCAATGCTTACCTCTTTACGTTTTTGCAACAGCAGCTCCAGCCTGTCATTTGCCCTTTTAGCGACCATTTTATTTCTCTCTGCCTCATACTGGCGCTGGGTGTTGTCCATGTTGATGCTCAAGTTTAGAGCTACATTCACCAGGGCTGTCATCAGCTTCATGGCTGTCAAAAACACAACAAGGAACATGAAGAAATAAAATAATTTCTGTTATCTGTAGATTATTTCAAAACTGTCTCTCATTAAGTTATGTGAGCTTATCTGACATCAGTGGGTTTTGGTATTAATAATTTGCAATCAAAGTTAGTTCTGATTGCACTACAGAGCAAAATTGCAATACCTTAAATTTAAAGGATGGTGAAATGGTCACAACTGGAACAATATTTATATTTTAGAAAAAAAAATGTTTGGGTTTCTTTAATTCTGATTAAGTAGAAACCTTGAATTCAAGTATGCTTTACAAAAGAAGACAAGTCACCAAACTCAAAGCAAATTGATTATGAATAATAGTTTTAGCAACACCTGGGTAACACAGTAGCTTAGGTGCAGAGAACAATCATTAACTAGTGTATTATCTAAAATAACTGTCCACCAGCTGAAACAGGCCAGCCTGCCAAGACCAATACTCACACCCAAACAGAAGCACAACAAAAGCATACTGAAAGTTCGTGACAACAACTTTCCAGACAGAAAAAAAACCCTATATGTTTTATAGTCACAGTACCCACGTGACAGAGTAAGCATTAAGCCTAAGAATATCGGCTATGTGTTCTACACAGCTCGGATTATTGTAGAGCATATGATCAAGATTCTTCTGCGTTTTTTAATGTGTTTAAATCCCCCTTTGCTGCTTACATTTATCCTAAGTGTTCATGTGTACACAACAAGCTCATAATAGAGACTTCAGTTGCCCTGCCCTTAGGAGTGCAAAAACATTTAAAAGGATCTAATCACGAAAAATAACTTAAAACATTTGTGCAGGTGGCCCATCTAGGTTGATCACTGGGGGTTATTAATTTTAATACTACTATGAAACAAAATGTGCAGACAGTATAAAAAGACTAGAGTTTACACCAATGAAAATTTCTGACCTCTTTTAATATCCAAGAGCACTACAAATGAGTTTGCAGTTCAAACACAAGGATACAACAAGGAAGAACCTTTAAAACACACAACTTTTCCCAGCTAGCTAACTGTTGTATGCTTGGAAAAGAAGCTATTGATTGTAAATCAGCACAAACACTTAAATATAATTCATAAACACACACGATCTTACCTGCCAGTGTTGAGGTGTGTCTGAAGGCTCGGACTTGGGAATCCGATAGTCCGGTGAGAAGGGAGATGACTGTGTCCATCATATACTCATCATAGATGATACTGTACTGACACTGGCGCACTAGCACCGAAATGAATTCACAAAAGCTTGTTTTGAACTTCTTCCACTGGGGCCCGGCTATGGTTAGAGGGTAGTCACCGCTGTCCTGCAACGTACACAGAGGAACGACAGTCCTTCACTACAATGACTAGTACAAGTGGCAGTTATCTACCACAAATTAGCAAAGTTTATTGTCCTTGGTACATACAAGAATTCTGTATTTGGCATCTGAAATGAAACTTAAGTGATTTATAGTGAATATGGTGTGATTATTAGTCTAATGTGGTAACTTGCCTCATCAAATTCCTCTGTCATCCGTCGGATGATCTCAGAGTTCTGCATGTTGCGAAACATTTCTCCAGAAACCACACCTGACAGGAAAAAACACAGAAGAAGGAGAAGACGAAGAATAAAGAGGTTAGACAGAAGACAATTTCCTGAGTGGAAAAGCGGAACTACTGATTCAGATGAGTGGAGGGAGGTTCTGTAGGACAACAAAGACTACATACTTCCTCAATATAGTTTAAAAAACAGCCAATCATGTAGTATTAGTACTGAAGCTGAGAAACATAAATACCTTTGCATCCTGAGCACTGGATGAAGAAATTGATGAGATCCAACAGTGCAACATCTCTGTCATGTTTGTAAGATTCAATCCAGTCATCAACAACAGACTGCAAGAAGATGGGGACAAGCACAAGTTGTGTATTTTTTTCTTTTACTGAGTAAAATAAAAGGAAAAAAACGGTGGCAATTTCAAACGGTTTACTGTTCATACCTGCATTGCACTCCTTCCCAGCTTCACAACCTCAAACAGCATCATGTTTTCCATGCCATTCTCTTGGTGGTGGCCATTTATACGGCCTGCTCCCTTCCCTCCTTTTCCTTTCTCCCCTGCTGCCTTCTTCCCCTTCTTTCCACCCTGGGAAAGTAGTGAAAAAACAAATATAAATCTGAGAACCAGTGCAGAGCGTAAGGAAAGAAAAACAATGTGTGTTACCAATACTTGTGCAATGGTCCATTTGTTGCATCTATACCTTTCCTTTAGCTGAATTTGCACTCCTTCCATCAGGATCCTCAGAGAAGTCTGTGTCTGAGGAGAATCGAGTGTCTGTATCCCTGACAAAAACAAATAACTGCATGAGATACATCAACCTTAACCTTAACAATAAATGTAAACTATTAGTAGATACTTACTGAGTATAGGCGAACTCTGATGGTATTTCTGGTGCTATCATTGTTGCAACATCTTCTGGATAACTTTAACTTACGACTGGCTTATAATCCTCACAAAATACAAGGCAGGAGACGTTGCATGTGACCTAGAATATGGAGCAGAATTGTTGTAGAGTGCTGCACATGCAGTCTCATTGCACATTTCACCAGCAACACTGAAAACTAAACAAAATAAACACTTTGTGTTTCCAGAAATCACAGCATCTGTAGTGAGCAAATGTTACTTTGATGTCTTTGAAAGAGAGAGTGAGAGAGGAAAAAAGAAAAAAAAGGTTTCACATGGTAACAGGGGGCGGACACAAACGCTCCTGTCATGCTCACTGTCCAACCATTGGCTCCCTCCCTTTCTCTGCTCTCCTGGGTTTACAGACAACGTCATACAATCAAGACCGGAGTGTCTTCCTCAATGTCCAAATATGGCACTGCCCTATCCGCCCCATACATATCTCAACCAATCAAATGCCAGTATCAACATCAACAAGATTCTGCAGGCCACAGGGAAACTATTGCATGGTTGTGAAGTGTAAATTAGTGGCACACAGATCAAAGTAGCAAGTAGAAGTAACTTTTCAAATCAGGACTAATACCATGTTCACTCTGAACCAAATGTATTTTTTTCTGTAGCAGTCAGTGAAATCAATAAAAGCCCTACCGAGTAAACGATTCAGTCTGGAAAAGACAAACTCCACCCATTATACACCAGGTTGGGTGCAGTGAGTCCCTCTTTCAGTCCTAGTACACTTAGAGCGAACATACACAACGTTGTCATTCTTCCATTATTAAACCAGACACAATTACTTAGTAAACTTTAAGGCCGACTATCCGATTTAAATCGAAAGTAACGTTAGCAAATTGATTCTTACTCACAATTTCACGCAAAATGAAGGCTCGCGCGTGCCAAATTACAGGTTATTACTGTTTACTGTGAATTAAATAGTAAACGTGAAATTGGTTAACATCAGCTAACAACAAAGTGAAGATTAGTGCTCAATATGATGATGTTTCTATGACTATGTGAGTTTCAGCTTTTCACAGTTAATTCTTGGTTTGAGAGTTTGGTACCGTGCCCATTTCCTTGATAGTGAGGGGGATACTGCATGACAAGACGACGGGATTCGTGCAGACAGAAAAAGTGGCGCCAAATCGGGGAGTGTATCTCATAAACTTGTTAATGCGAAACGACAGTAAAGAATGCTATATAACAAAAAACACGCTAATGTGAAACTCAACTGTGTGAATTTTTCAAGGACAACTATGCCACCAACTACCGGCTCCGCTCGCCCCAACGCTGCCGACACGGAGCCGCTCTTCGTCGGTTCCTGTCAAAATTGACGCCGGTGCGCTGCTGGTGCTAGCGCGAGTAGCTAAGTAACCGTGGATTTTTGGCGTATTTTCCCCAGCGTCAGCTAGTTGAAATTTGATGAAGTAAGCATGCGCTACTTAGGGAAAACAAACTATGAATAGCTAAATAAGAAGAACGAGAATCGCATACAATGCAATATCGTCAGATTTTCAGAACATGCCAGCGTTTACCATTGCTATACTAGTTGGACCATAATAACAAAACAACGCAAGCCTTTCTGTACTAGCGTAAGCTAATATTAGCCAGAACACAATAAGGCTAGTCAGCAATGCTGCCGTGTACATTAACTAATTTCTGTCTACGTGTCACTCGTAACCAGTCTTCGTCCGAAGATAAAGCAAATAATAGCAGATAAACTCCAATGGACGAGCTGAAAATAACTCCCACTAGTTAGCAATGCTAAGAGCTACTGCTAACGTTACCTAAAAAAACATCACGTCCTTGCGTCCTCCATCTTGCCTCGGGAGTTCCAGTACCGTATTGCATAAGCAACAAACACTTTGTTTACAAATATATAAAGTGCAAGTAAGTCGGTTATGGCAATAAAACGCCTCGGTCTGTTCCGAGCTACGTATTTTGCGCCGCTGTGTAAAAAATCCAGTTCGTTAGCCTGCTAACAACCGAAGTAGCCATGTTCCGCGAGCTAGCGAAGCGACTTGGTTCAGGCAGACATCCGCGCTCTGCGCTCATCTAAAGCTAGCCTGGCTAGCGAGACGGCTAGCAAAATACAAATCAACTAAGTTCCAGATAGCTCTCCGCCATTTTACAGCTAACTTACCTTGTTGTGAAATGTAGTCCCGGTACAATCGTAACTTTTACTACTCGTATACAGCCTCCGTCTGAATTCCGCCACAATTCTGTAAAAAGAGTTTAAAAGTCGCGGTCAGAGGCGGTTTCGGACGTTCTCTCACCCCGCTTGCTCCGTAGTTCGGTTTGTTGTTTCGACGACCTGGGAGGAGGATATCCTGGTGCAGAGCTACCACCTAGCGGCCACAATACTCGCACTGAATGCACGGTTTATAGCCTGACATCTAGTGGTAACTGACGAGAACTGCACGGTAACACTACCGCCTCTGTTTTCCGTGGGCTAGCTTTTCTAGCCATTTGTTTTGTATGTATAAAAGGAGCACACAATACTGACCTAGGATGTTACTATTTGAAGTATCGTAGCAAATCTGTATGGTTCTCGTCTGCAGTTCCCTCCCAGTTCACAGTGACAACTTACACGCAAGCAAAAACAAACTAAGGAGCTAAGCAACATATAGACAAGGTATTTTGTTTAGCACATCAGATAAGACAATTCTCCAATTCTGCTGTAAGGGTTAAAACACCCTCCCCTACTGTCCTTTAGGAAGATTGTGGAGGTATGTAAAGACGACACCTGGTGGTCCGCCACGAGATACTTAATAAAATACAGATCTAATTCCTACAAGATCATTACTCTATAAGAGTAATGATTTTTACCATAATTGAAACTAAAATGCTGCACAAAAACTAAAAATCTGTTTCTAAATCTGATTAATTTGGGTCAGTTCTTGTATATTTTACCATCTGCCATCACTTCAGTTTATAGGCAGTCAAATGTTACATCACTCTTACACTTTCTCAAACCTCATCTGATAGAAATGTGACTGTCTAGCTAACATTGCACAATCAGTGCACCGGGATCATCTCTGCAAATACAACACAAAACATTTTGTTTAGTGATGAAATGAAACTCCAAGTCTGCATAAATATTTATTCACACTTAATTAAAGAAACAATAAAATGATTCTAACATTACAATGGTTAACTCCAAGCCCTAAACTTGAGCTTAGAAATGTAAAAGACACAGCAACTGGTTCTATACATAAAACACACAAGTTAAATCCGAATAAATAGGATAAAAGTGGATGAAAATGACAGCAATAACATCCAAGTCAATTTATCTGTGGTAAGTGATGCATTAGAATACATAAACCAAAAGAAAGGCACTTCTGGCTAAATGTGTTTCAACATAGGAACAGCCCTTTAATGTGTATTTACATCTCAAGGAACTATTTATAAAACCATCTACATCTATACAGATATTTACCATTGTAAGGGCTAGGAAAATATAGTTTTACACATTATCATTCTAAGATTTATTAAAGAAAATTGATCCATAAATAATATTATAGGCTCTCTACTTTACAATTACGATATAATTACAATATTATAATGACAGTGTAAAAGCAGCATTGCGTCTGAGCAAGAATATATTGTTCTCAAGCAATATAGGTCTTGATCTTCTGTGTTATGTCTTGACAGCAGATCGGACACTTGTTGAGGGCCTGTGAACAATTCTCGCAAGCAACAAGGTGAGCGCATGGAATGAATACAATGGCAATATCTCTGTCCATGCATATTTTGCACTGTTTTTCCCTCTGCAGCCTCTGTAGTTTCTCCAGTGGGTCCTCATCTGACATAAAATTAAATAAACAGAAGTCAGCACTGCTCAGACTTTGTTTCATGATGTATCTGGGGCACTGAAGTAAAAAAGAAAAAAAGAAAAATGTACCTTCCATATCTTCTGAAACTGGATTTTGATGACTTGAAGCCTGGAAGCAAACATGGAAAAACAAAATCCTGTGACTGAGATCACTGAAGACTGTAAGTCCTTTAATTATGACACACCTTTCACACGCTGAAATGGAACACTAAGCTTATTTTAACTAGAGCCCAATCTGGGACTACTGATGATTTTTCTAGTGTAGAAAATTAATATACTCCCAAATATTCATATACACCCATTTATACATATAAAGTATGCTAAATTTCCAAAACAAGTTAGCGATTGTCTGTGAAGAACAATGTGAGCCTTCCTGCTTTGCAATCCATGATGAAAACCTTTCTAAACTAACCTTAAGATTTTCAGCACTGTTCAGCTTTCATTTGGGCACATACGCCAGACCTCTAGTGTTGATATTGACAGTGCTTTAAGGGAATCTTAATTTGTAGTTTACGCATCCACAACTTGTGGAAAAAGCAAAAACTTACAGCTCTGTCGTGTGGTCTTTGTAGCTGGATGCTGTTGACAAATTCTGGCCCTTTGTTTGCCAAAAGGAAGCTGCACCTGTTTTAAAACAGTATATACTTTGATTAAAACAGACGCAAATGCCACAGAACAAAGAAGACAACCTGTGTGTGTATATACATATGTGTAAAAGCATATTAAGAAGACGGGGGTACCATAGTTGTTCTTACCCTGGGTAGTGTTTGGCATGCTCCACCCAAGGGTCTTCCTCAGGCTGCCAATTGTTCAAGCCTCCACCGCAATGGAAACACAAGACTGCGTCTCCTCTTCCTGCAAGGATACAAATTACATTTGATTGCATTCACAGCTACCTACTAGAAAATTTAGATCATACATTTTAAAATGTTGCACAATGTTTCTTTAGTCTCAAACACCTGAACATTACCTGTGCTGTAGAAGCCAGCTCTGGCAAGCCTCTCGTGGTCAATAGGGTGCCAGACACCAGCAAAAGTAGCACGCCTTGCCTCAAAATTCTGCATTAAGGCCGGGTCATTTGCACACCGATTGTTGCTGGCATCCTCCTCTATACCTGTCTGGATTGGGATGTTCCTGACATCATGCCCAAGGATAAAGAAGCAGTTGGGATAATGCTTGTTGTGCTCACTCCAGGGAGTATCTCCTGGTTCCCACCCATTCAGCCGACCACCACAGCAGAAACACTGAACCTTGTCACTCTGCCCCACGTAAAAGAAGCCGGCTTGGGCCAGATCTCTGGGTCTCACCGGAGTACTGTTGGGCCAAGAAGAGAAGGTCCGAAGTCGGGCTTCTTCATTTCTCATGTGAGGAAATTTAGGGTAGGTGGCCTCATCAACCACTTCTCCTGTTCTCAAACGATATTCCATGTCTCCTACTTCTTCACTGATTAGTGCAGTATTGGAATTCTGGTTAAAACTGGTACGGTGGACGCAGGTGAGAAACGTGCATGATGGAGAAAACTGTGAGAATGAGAAAATTAGAATTGGATCAATTTGGAAGAAAACCAAACAGACAAAAAAAAAAAAAGTGAAATATTAACCACTTCCACGTTTTCATGTTACAAGTTTGATTACCTGCTTGTGTTTGTCTACAGGCCTGTCTCCGCTGTACCAATTATCCAAAGTCATATTACAGCTGAAACAGCGGACACGGTCAGACTCGCCAGTGTAGAAGAAACCAGCCTGTGCCAGTGTTTCCGCAGGCACCTTGTTAGCAAGGTTGGAGCCACGGAATGAGTCTATGCGTCTTGTCAACGAGGAAAAATCGGGCGCATTGTCTGACTCCCAAACACCATCTTGACTGAGATCACACATGATTGAAACAGGAAGCTGTAGGGATTTGTTAACTTGATGGACAGATGATCTGCGAATAGAAAGAAACAGGATATGTTTGAGAAAAAAATGGTACCGTCTCCTCATTTGCTTGTTTGTTTGTAAACAGACTCTTCAGTGGTTAAATTCCTGCATTTCCATGTCTGGCGCCAGAGAGCCAAACGGCACATCTGCAGGGTCTCTGTACCTTTAAGAGAATGCCAGCCTGTGATCACATGCAGGAACTGAATGTTCCATGTGAGGGATGGGCACTGGAGAGGCAGGTTTGTCTACAGGCACATTGCATATTACACCACATAAAAGGGTTATACTGCTCGAAGATACAATGCAGCAGAGATCTCAAACAAAAGGCCCAGGAGCCAGAATCAGCCTTGCAAAGGCTCCAGTTCGGTTCGCTGTACAGCTTTGGAAAATGTGAAAGAAGGAATGTATTTTGGGCTTTTGACTGTAGTTTTACTGCTTTTCCTATTGACAGAGACCTCCCCGTTCATAACACACAAAATTAATTAAGTAATACATAAACAATTAAATGACAGAATAGTTCCTGTTTTATCTGTCTACAATAATAATGTCTGTTTTTTCTTTTCAAAAAGGTCTCCAGAGTTTTGTTTTTTGTTTGTTTTTTAAAGGGAGAAGGCGAGCATTTTCTGTGAATTAACAGAAACTTTCTCTTTTACAATTACAGCACAGTCTGAGAAATGAGCTGCCAGAACTTCTGGAAGTTTATGCATTTATTTCTTACAATTTAACCCTGGAGAGCTGTGCTGACAGGTTTCTTTGATCTACTGCAGCAGTGTTTCTATGGCCTGAAGAAAATCTGAGAAGTACTGTTGAAATCACCCTTGTTTGATACCTCAAGGATGAGATTTTGCAGTTAAACTTCTTAACGCTGAGAGTAAGGGTAGTTTCACTGGGCTTGAGGTCTAAAGTGAGCTTGTATGTGGCCTTAGAAGAAAAATGAGTTTGACATCCTGGCAATGCAGAATATGAGGAAAGAGAGCAATAATAACCTAAGGCGTGAAGCTATGATTTCAGAATCTTTACATTCCTCAGCGTCATAGTTTTGGTTGTTTAATCGGTGACTGTGTGCTTGGTCAGCTGTTTAAACAGCTGTTTATCAGCTGATACGTTGCTGTATTGATGGGATGCGATCTTTGAACTGTCTTTAGGTGTCTGCATTATTTCAAGTAAATCAATCGCCAGCGTCATCCCTTTATTTTTTTAACTTGTGCCAAGACTGCATCGTCCCACGCATTAAAATGCTCACTTTTTGACTGACTCGTAACTGCGAACGACATCTAACCGAAAGTAAAACCAGCGACAGGGGAGTTTTCCCACTAGCAGTTCCACGTGTTTCTTTTAACATTTATTAATGATCAGAGTGGAGAGGATTTAACCCCAGCAAATTCCAGAAAGGCCCCACAGCTTTGCTTCAGTTGAACACGACACAGAAGCCGTACTGTTTCTGGGAAACGCCAAGAACAACAGCGCCGATGACAGCAACTGACAGCCAAGACCTCGCTAAACCCACACCGTGTTTTCGTTCAGTTAGAAATTAGTCAATACAGTTACCTAAAAGTGCTTTTATATGTAAAATGTAAACACCCAAAGCGACAATCTTAGACTCTGACCTGTGCTTTTGATCTGTACTGCTAGGCTCGTAAGCGGAATCGCGAATGCTAGCTTCAGAGTGCTTGGTAGCTACATTAGCTTAGCCTTTTTACGCAACGCTAGCTAGGTCACACAGTGACTTATCGAATATAATAACGAAATTTTAAATGTTTACCTTTCAACACAGCTCTGTTTCCTCCAGATAGTGTAGAGTGCGAACACCTCGGAAAGGAGACTCCGGTGAAGTCTTTTGTGACCTCCCTGTCAGGAAGTGAAAACCGCCTAATCAGATGACGTCAGGAAAGGGTTGTGCCGTGGTGGTTTTCCAGCAATATCCGTGTTTGGCCAGATCTCTTGGAAAAAAAAAATTTTTGACATTAGTAATTTTTTTTTAAAACCTGGATTACTTATGTAAGAGTCAAATTGCATTAAAATGGTTCTACGTTTCGCTCAAAATGGCTTAGTATCGTCCAGGAGAGCTATGTTTATAAGCCAACAAGCTACATTTGTAGTCTGTTTTCTGATTTAGTTGCATTTCAGCTGTCAGCTACGCCGTTTAATTTAAATGTATCTCCTATCGAATCCACCAGTCACAGAGCAGCAAGCCAATGCACGTAGGTAAAGGGCAGAAATGGTAAAAACGACCTCAAACTAAGCATCAGAATGGGGAAGAAAGGTGATTTAAACACGGTTGCTGGTGCAAGATGGGCAAATCTGATAATAAACTGCTAATCTACTGTGATTTCCCTGCAATACTAGTATTTAATAAATAAATTTAAAAAAATAAAAACTATTTTAACTATTTTAAAAGTGCATACTGTGGTGTGAACACCACACCTTGGTATGTTGTTCTTTTGCATCTTATTAAACACACAATAAACTTTGAGGTAGATGAGACTCAGCAGTAGACTACACCCGATGGCATTCCTGTGAGCTGAGAACATGTTTGTACATTTGGATTAAACGACATGAGGTCGTGGATCCAACCTGGTTTTTATCAGTGGTTCAAGCAGCTGCTGATGGTGCTGAAATGGTAACTTTTGGCCTCTTAATACAAAAGGAACATCATTTAAATGGCACAGCATACTTGAGTATTGTTGCTCACCTTGGCCATCCTTTAAATACCTAAAAACTATTAATTTATTTTTAGGCAATTTGAAGCTTCCTCAATTTATAGGCTGGCCAGATCCCAGCAAACTTAATGTGGTAGAACATTGGATCTATTCCTAACACTGAGAATCTTTTAGCATGTGCTAAAACTTGATATTTTTGTTAAGTGACAGTCTTTTCACTTTCATGTATTCTTCTTTTTTGTTTCAGAGTCCTTTAAAACTATTATTTACTGTTCTTTCCATTTTCTCCAGCAATCATTTGGCTTCCATCAACTTATCCATCTGTTTTTTGAGCCGAGTTTCATGTGAGACTTACAAGTGAGAGTTGCCTTCCCAGCAGTTTCATGCTTATTCTAGCTTTATTTTCCTTTGTGGTAGTTTCAGTCATGTTCCACAAAAACCTGCATAGCTTGTGGGGGCAATTTTCCACTTCAGTGTGGACAGTTAATGACCTATGAAGACATCCTTTGCTGCTTCCTTCACAGCCATTGAGTAAAAAGCAGACTATAGAAAAGAAGGCTGAAAACTTCCGCTAATAAAAATGTGGGGCATAATCTCAACATGTGGAACAGGGAACAGGGAACAAGAAACAAACGCTTTGCAGCACTACGTCAATAGGGAAAATCTGGTCACTTCCGTTTTCCACTCACTGTTCCTTGTGTTGGCAGTACTATAAATAACATATAACATATATTGCATGACTACTACAGGATTTAAATAGCTGTTGTGGCTGGGAAGTTGTCAGGTTGACATGCTACATTCAAAGGTACGCATTATTTAAGATTTAGCTTAAAAACAATGAAGCTGCACAACTTTTTATTTGTTATTCAGTTACTCTGAAACCTGAGAAGTCCAAAAATGGTTTGCTTAGGATTCTTAATGTCCAGGGTTTTTGGGTGTGGTCAGATAAAGCTCTGTTGCACATTTAACCATATTCCACATAGCCACACCTGTATGACACCATCACCAGGTGAGAGGTTAATACTGTTGCAGATAGGCAACAATATTTTCAGTTAGTCTTTAAGGAACCTGGGTATAAGCTAATAATAAAAAGAACAAAAATGTAGGAAACATTCACAAAATTTTGTGCAATAATAGCTTAAATTACTAAAGGCAGCAGTACGTCATTCATGAACAGCACATTTATTAACAGGTTGAACTTCATGTTTTACATTACAATTCAAATTTAATAGAAAATAGCCTGTGGGGTTTGAAAACCTGTGCTCAGACAACAAATAAGATCTGTGCAGTCTCAAAGCACCATCTGAGTCCATCATCTCATCTTCCACACGGACCGCTTAAGGAGGACTGAGCGGGATGGGAAATCTTAGAATGTAACTTGGGGGTTGGTGGTGGGGATTTGAGCTGGAACAAGACGCGTCGGTCAGACAAAGCATCATCCCTCCACGATCCGACGGAGTATGTTCCCAAGACTGCCCTTTGCTATCTGGAGCGGGGTCTTCTCCTCCTTGTTCTCAATGTAAATGCTCGCTCCATGTTCCACCAGCAACTTGGCTGCTTCAACACGCTCCTCATCGCATGCAAGATGGCTGGGAGAAGAAAAAAATAAAAATCAATGCATAACTATAAATACAGAAATGCCTTTCTCCCCCCCAATGCTAATCACACTGTATAGCTATATAGCTGTATAGCTAATGTGGTTGATAACTTCTAGTACTGTTAGGGTAAGTAAGAAAACATTTTATTTTTTAGGTATAATTAGAGTTCATCTTTGTATTCATATTGCATGATGTTAAAAAAAAAAATTGCATTTGACATATATGTAATCATACAGAGGTGTGTTGCCCTGTGAGTCCTGAATATTTGTTGATGCACTCTGTTTGAGAAGCAGCTGGATGAGCCGGTAGTTGCCCTTGGCAGATGCTCTGTGAAGAGGCGTAGAGTCCAGCTTGTCAGTAGCATTGGGGTCTGCTCCATTTTCCAACAGCAGCAGGGCAATCTGCAAAGAGGCAACAATGTTTTATTCACAAGCTGAACACCACACTTTTACATCCAGTTATTTCTAGTTTCTATGAAATACCCGTTTTCAGATTTCGTCATTTTGGTTACCACAGTCATGTGGAAGTTTCATGTTAGGAAGTGAGACTGAAAGTTAGGTCAATCCTGACTGGGAAAAAAACCTGTGTTTGAAATAAAACCCTGTAAATGTAAAATTAAATCCATTCATGTCATGTCCAAGTCCTTGTGAGAGAAGACGATGAAAAAGTTCAGTTTCATGATCTTTTATATGCACATTTGATTTAACAGAAAAAATGCATCTTGATTGTTGCAGTGTTTTGGACCCCGTTTCCCACCACCTCAAGTCTCCCATATATACATAGGTCTTTATTAAATCTTTGTAATCTTAGCAATGATATAGATACTGCAGCATACATGCTACAACAATGCCAGGATATTTGAGATAGCTTTGTCCTTATATTGTTATATTATTATCAGTTATATTGAACAAAACATTCTTGTTATCTTAAAAATAAAGCTGTAGATAGTGATTTGGGTGTTGTTGTTTTTTTTAATAAAGCTGACAAATCACCTTTTCTTATATCCAAGTGATCCTTCTCAGAGAGCAAGAGGGGATGTATTGATGTATTAGTGATGATGGTTCAGAACAAATAATAAATGTTCAGGAAAACCTTCTAATACTCCAGATAAAAACAAATACATAAATAAAACTTCATTACATGTCCAGAGGAAAGGTTAGAGTCTAAATGAAACACATTACAAGCACGTGTTGACGGTATCTTTGTAATACCTCTATGTGCCACAAGGGGGAGACAAATATTCAGCACAACAAGTTTATTGTTAAAGAAAAGCTGTTTTGTTTTGCACATTTGAGAAGTATAAGCAACCTATAATTATATTTTACTTATTCCTACAGGGTTTCCTTAAAAGTACTAAAGCTCATATCTACAAGTTTCATTCTAAAGAGAAAACTTTATGCTGATCTAAGAAAAGACGAAAAGGCACAATCGAATCCTGGTACCCTGGATGAGAACATGTTTCAAAAATTTAATAACCTGTTGTGTGTACAGGGCGTGACTTATAGGTGACAGAGAGTGGTTACTCATAAGCCAAGCCCTGTGTGTATAGGGCCCAGCGATAATAAAGGGGTGGTAGCACAGGGGTAATGCGACTCCGAAGGCACAGGAATGTAAAGCCAGTACAAAACAAGCAGCTGTTTTTTTATGTGCATTAAAGTTATATGAAGATTTAACAGCGCAAATGCAAATTCCTTGCTGACAGTTTAACCAAAAGGCATTTCCAGTGGAAATTGGCCGACATATCCTCAGCATGACCATGTATAATATCCACAAAACTTAAAAAGAGGTTATACACACACACAATACAGTAATATTATGTTGAAGCACAGTACGTATCACTCTGCGAGGCCCCTGCCTACGATAGCCGTAATGCTCCGACAATCCATCAAGCGGTGCGGCTCCATAGCTTAGCAAAGTTGTACTAAAACATTTGACAGATTTTCGAGTGCCGTGTACCACATAAAATCGTTTCGAGGTCAGTAAACACAACCAGAATTCATACATAAGACACACGGGATTATAAGGGGCACTGTCAATTTTCAGAAAAAACAAAGGATTGATTTTAAGTGTGCCGTATTTTCCAAAAAACACGGTAATAACGACGGCCCGCTAGCATGCGCTACCAAAAATAGTGCTTTGTTGTATATCTGACGGACGAAAGCTAAACCAGTTCCACACCACTGAATTTGCAGCATTTTTACAAACCAATTCTGGTTCATCCTGTCATTCAACAATCCGCTTTCGCCCGTCTCATTCTCCATCGCCGAAATGCTTTTTCCGCCATGTGTATGAAAACAAAGGCACTGCGCATGCGCGTTTTACCCATATTCTATCGCGATATTTCATTTTCTTATCGTTGCCCAACATTATACCGGTATTACCGTGAACAGTATGATATGGCCCAGCCCTACTTTCTATATTTGTGTCAGTACTCAGTGTGAAGCACCAGTAGAGCTTGTGTAGAGAACAAGAAACCCACCAGTGTAACCCACCATTCAGCACCCCACCTGTACATATTACAGGGCCCACCTGCTGGAAGCGAAGGCAAAATTTGAAAAATAAAAAAATTAATTAAATAACAGCAACAGATAAACGATTAATTTGAA